GGACAGTACTCCAGGACAAACAACGACTCCTTACTGGGACTGTAGTGAAATTTCTGTCCAATGTCCCTTGCCAAAATGAGTTGCTAGTACCAACGAGCCACAACACAGCCATGGTCACCAGCAGGCAAGCACTGGCCCAGCACCACACACGGCCACTCACACCTCAACACCTGACAGCCCTGCTGTGGGTGCAGTCCTGCACAGGGAGCAGTTCCATCCCCTCTCCCAGGGTCGCACGAGGGCCAGCGAGGGTGAGGTGGTACCACACAGCATCCCACTCTGACACAGGAGACTGCAAGGTAGCACTGCAGCCAGGGCATCCTTCCCCCTGTAAAGGTTTGCCACCTGCAGGCATCTTTACCAGCACCAGCACTGCCCTGGAGTGGACATCCCACCTCCAGAGCCAGCAGGACACATGGACCAGGGTGTCACACTGCAGGAGTGAGCAGGGAGCAGCTCATCTTCCCTGCTTAATTTGTTATTAAACCTTCCCTTTCCTCCAGCACAGGACACACACAGCCTGGGGCTCAGGTTCTGCTTTCCTTTTGCCTTCAAACTCCCTTTCCCACATCCATCTCCGATAAGGCCATAAAAGGAGCAGAATGCCAGCCACCTCCATTTCTGCAGTGTCAAGCAGGCCAGGGACTCCTCCCACAACTCCCAGTGCCTCTGGCTGACAGTGTGGCTCCCCTGGCACTGGGACCCCTCAATCAGTGGGGCTGAGCAATGCCCATCCTTGGGATGAACACCCAGCACCTCCCAGTGCCAGGGGAGGCTGGGAAATGAACCATGGGACAGCAGGTCTTCATGGCCTCGGGCCACCAGCATAACATGCCCTGCCCAGGGTTTACTACTTTCCCAGGAGCATTAAGGGGCTCACCTCGGCGGGGGAATCTGGCCGCAGTGCCTCAGAGGGGGAGGTGACCGCAGACTCCTCCTACAGCCGCTCAGAGCCTGCCAGGGAGAAGGAAAAAATTCCAGAGACTTAAGGAACCCAACCATCTTTGGTCAGCCGCGGTGGTTGTTGACACTTCGGGATGTTCCGCTCCAAATAATGCTGCTCCGGCCGCTGCCTCCTCCTACCCATCCATGTTTTAGAGCTTCCCTGGCTTTTATCACAGTCGAAACGTTCTGTACCAAAAGGGCATGCCCGGGAGGGAAGCCAAGAGGACCTCAAGTTTTCATGGGAAAGGCTAAACAAAACACAACATCCCTCTGTTTAAGGCTAAGGGAAATGAGCTAAATAAAGCTTTTCTGCCTTGCAGCAGTTTATTGCCTGAAGTTGCTCCCTGGTCACTGGGAAGATCTCTGGAGCGTCCCACATGCATCCAGACTTTGGCTCTGGCCACCGGCAAAAGGACTTGGGGGAAAACCAGATGTTCCAGACAGGAACCGTTCTCACAGATCAGAGGAGGGGGTTGAAGCCGCAGGCAGCAGGATCTGCTCCTGCATCTCTGCCAGCCCGGGGAAGCCGGGATGTCCCACCTCCAAGGCATCGTGGACAGTCACCCAGAGCTCAGCTCAGGACTGATCCGCATCTGCCCTTGCCGGGACACCCCTGCCGGGCCCGGCAAGAGGTTGGCCAGGCAGACGGTGCCAGCCAGGGCGCCCCGGGAATCCTCCTGCCACCGCGTTACCCCGTCCCCGGGCTGACCCCGACACCG